CCCACTGCTCCCATACCCACCTCCTCATTCAGGACTTAATTTGTCCCCAGGCTTGCCGGGGCTGAGTAAGTCTGCGGGGAAAAGTGATATTTGTTTGTATGTTTATATCACTTTTCCCAGCAGACTTAGTCGCTAGCAAGTCTTTAAAAAACCAAACAAACCACCACCAAAAAAGCAAAAGAAACAAGAAAAAAGACAACATGCAAAGCACCTGATTTGTTCTATTCTGGACATGGATATGTGCATATTTATTTGTTTTTCCCAACGCTAATTAAATATTGTAGGAAAAATTATCAGAGCGGCCACCAGCAAGAGTTGGTGGCCGCACTTTGAGGCCAACAACCTTTTTGTTGTGAGTACCCCTAGGGGAGCAGGTGTGATTGTCCAGGACTCCTTCAGCGAAGGCGATGCACAGTCCATAGGGTTCTGCTTCCTCTGAGAACACGCTGCTTGACCAGTTGGTGATGGGAGACCCCAAGCAGCTTGCCTGAGAAAGAAAGGAAAGGCCCAGTGAGGGCTTCCCCCGGTGCTGCCCCCTGCCCATTCCAGCTCAGGCCAAGGTGCTGCGATTGGGTTAAGTGAAAAGGCTCTTTTCCCGCCAATGCCTGGTGGCGTGGATGTTTCTCGCCCCCGTTGCGGCCAGTCACTGCTGGGATGACTCCCTCCGGAGAGCTGAGTGCAGCCCTGTGGGGCAGTGTGTTCCCTCTCTGCCTAGCCCTCCAGAAACTCACCCCCTCTTCAGTGCCAGATTTCCCTGCTGGGCTTTGTTTCTGTGACCCTGGTGTGGCAGGAGGTAGAAAGTCCCCACTCCCTGCAGGGGCAGGAGGCAGAGGAGACGGCGACGCTCTGAGATTGGAGCTGTCAGGATCGTGTGTCTGGCAGGGAACCTGCAGACTAATATCTCCAGACTAAGTGCACCTTCTGGGATTGGAACCTGTTTGCCTGTAATTTATAACATGCTCCACAGGCTGCTTCTTACTCTAATCCCTCACTTTAATTTACGGCACCAATGTACTGTATAAATCCACCCCAAGTATTACAGCCCCAGGGAGGAGAATGGATGGGAGCAAACGCTGCACAGCACCTGTCCCGGAGAGAACGTCAATGCAACAGTCACACAACAGTGCAGGGTGTGGGCTGCTGCTGTCTCAGGTCCCCGCTCCTGTCCTGGCTTGTTTACTCTCTTTAATTGAGGCTCAGGTTGTTTTGGGATCTAAATTACTTATCTGAGCATCTCACCATCGCTACGGTGTTCATCTGCCCAGCTCCTCTGTGTGGCAGGGCAGGGCTATTATCAGCGCAGATGGAAAACTGAGGCACGGAGAGACTAAGTGACTGGCCCAAGGTCACACAGGGAGTCTGTGGTGGAGCAAGGATTTGAGCCCAGGTCTCCCAAGTCCCAGTCTAATGCCTGAACCATTGGCGCATCCTTCCTCAATGAACCCCAGTAGATTGAGAGGATGAGTGACTGGAAGCCCTGAATGGGGAAATCGTTCCAGCCCTTGTTACAACAGAAGTTACTGTCAGTCCTCCCAGCGAGTTCGGGTCATTCCTGTCCTGTCCAAGGTCCGTTCTTGGCGCCCACACGGCTTGGGCCTGGGGCTGGAATACGGGGCAGGAGGAACATGGTGTGGGGTGAAGGCTGGGTTTGGATGTTCTGGCTGGTCTGGGCAGGTTCAGATTTAATCAGAGATGGACTCGAGCCCCAAACCCGGCTCGGGCTCTGGCTCCAGGCTGGATTTCAGGCAGCCCAAAGCTCTGAGGTGTTTGGACTCAGGGTTGGCTGGGCCAGGCGTGTGATTGGAGTTCAGCTAACTGCCGTCAGCAGGGACCATCCTGTACACTGCACCCTCCAAGGGTTGTTCAGCCTTGCCCTGCGCCCGGCATCGCTAGCCTCTCTCCTCCTGTTGTGACCCGTCTGCCCCGTCAGCTTGCCCCTCCCTGGCCAGAGGGAAGATGAATGGTTGGCTCATCCCTTGGAGTGAAGGGTTCTTGTCTCTCCAAGAACTTGTGCTAACCAGACCTCCTGGGACTGGATGCCCATGTGGGAAGAGAGGGCCCATGCCTGGGAGCCAGGTGGGCTCAACCAAGGCAGCCTAGCTGGGAGGGTGTTTGTTGGAGACAGGATTTTGATGGATCTAGGTCTGGAACCTCACAGGAGCTTCTTGGATCCCAGCCTGGGAGAAGGAGCTTCACTGGCTTGGGCGGATACCGAGTCAAGGGGCTTAGAAGCCGTTCTAAATGGCAGGAGAAACGACGACCTCTCCCTGCCCTCCAGCGTGCCGGATAGCCAGCAGACATCGGCCGTGCTGTCCCCCTGAGCCAGGCCCCACTGGAGTGATTGCCCGGCGGCTCAGTTCCTGCCCACCGCCCGCCGCTGGCAGTGATGTATTGCTGTGTGCTGGGGCAGAGGGGGAGGTCTGTCCTGTCACTCCCCCCCCCCACCCACACACACACTGTGGGGCAGGCAGGTGAAGTCATGCCTGTGTCAGCTCATCCATCTCTGCTGTTCAGGCTCGTCCCGGGGGAGGCACAGGCCTCGACAGCGCTAAGTGGGTTGGAGGCGGATGCAATTCTAGAGAACAAGATTCCCTTGTAATTTGTTACATATTAAAGTTCTGGGCTGAAAACTTGTTTCAAGCTCTCAGCTCTGGCAAGGGAATGAGGTTTTAATTCCCTCATTTCATTTGCCATTTGCCTCCCGCTGTCTCTGTTCGCTGGCGCTTAGTCCACAGAGGAGCAAGCCAGGCTATCAATCCTGAAAGGAAACAGCCACGAGAAGTGTCTTTGCTCTCTGGAGGAGGTGGGATCAATCTGAAACGTGATTGTGCCGAGCTGGGGGTCTATGAAATTGACGGCGTAATAATGTTGGCCAGTGCCCCGCAGAATGTTCAGGGGCTGTGTGCATTTCCACCCCAACAGCCCAGCTCCCCAATCCTGGCTCGACTGTGCCACCCCTGGGTCGTTCCCCCCAGCTCTGCTAGTGCCCCTCCGTTGTACTACGCAGAAACTCCTGGTCACAGCCCCTGCATATGTCTGAATCCCGAGGGCTCACTGCAAGCTGAGCCATAGGGTGCAATGCTAAAAAATACACTCGAGAGGGGACGTCGTCTGCTGCCTCCATGCCAATCTGAAGCCAGGTTTCTGAAGATAGTTACTCTTCCTCCTTGCCCCATCCCACTTGGTGCCAACTGCTGCTGGGAGTGGCTGAGACTGGATGGGCTGGGAGCTCTCTGAATCTAATACCTCTTAGGCCTTCCCTGCAGTGATTTCTGCTGAAAACAGGTGGGTGGGATGTGGCTGTGAGCGCCCTCCACTGCTAAGGGGTGTCCACCATTCCCAACGGAGACGCCAGTGGTGGGAAGCTGGCTCTGGAGAAACGACAAGCTTCTTACAATAGTGTGACGTGATTTATAGACAACTGAATAACTGGTAGCGGCTCCGTCCTCCATCTGTATCCAGCGCCGAGATCAGAGTAGGTTTTCTACTCCATGGAGTTGAGGCAGGTGGTGGATAACTCTGACGTGGTCCATCTCTGTAGAGTCATCCCAGAAGTGATGGGACAGGTGGGGGAAAAAAAGCCCTTCTTCAGGTTCCATCCGGCCTATGCGCTACTCCTGCCTGTCTTGGTGAGTCTGTGGCCTCCGCTCCAGAGTCCCCAGCCAGTGTTCCTGGTAGGCCAATGCAAAGGGCAGAAAATGGAGGGCTCCCACACCCCGCACTTGTCAAGATGAAAGGTTTAGCAGAGTCCAAATCTCATTTCCAGCTCCTCCTGCAGCCTCGGCTGAGTCATCTCCCTGCTAAGGGGGAGTGCGTGGGTTGGCCTCGGCGTTAGCCTGTTTATCTCTGCCTTCGCCAAGCCTGACGCTGGCTCAACCACGGCTATTTGTCAGCCTGGGGATGAGCCGAGATGAGCTCCCTGTGCCCTAAAACAAGCCTCGCTGTCATCCTGCCCACTAGCTCAGCCAGTCCTCTGGCCAGAGCCAGGGTGTGGACACTGCTGTGGGGACTGGAGGGCTCCTGAGAGAAGTATGGACTCAAGCCCCCAGCCGTGGTGTGAGTGGAATGACCGTGCTCCAGTCTTACAATGCAACGCCAGAGCCTCAGCGTTCTGGAGAGCAGATGCTTTAAAAACACTTGCTCATCGTGTGGCTGAATGGCAGACTCTGCTCTGGGCGATGAGGTCAGTGTGGGAGCCCCCAGACTTAACCTCTTTCTCCTTTTGTATCCCTGAGCTGAACCAGTGGGGACGATAGGTTTGTACAGGTGCTGCTAGCCCGGATGCTGTCTATACCTCCCCGACCTCTTGCACCACAGCCCCTAGCAGTGCCCTGGGTCTCCTCTTGCTATCCCTCGCAGCTGAGTAGCTGATTCCTCAGCCTCACCCTGCAGTGCTTTACCTGTCCCTCAGCTACCACCACCTCCCTGCTCCCAAGTGCCTCATGCGGCCTGCCAGCTAGACACAGATCTGATAGTTGCCTGGTCCCCAGGAGAAAGGAGGTGGGTTTTTGGCAGCAGTAGAAGAGTTGAAGTCTTCATAGAGTTTAGCAGCCCTCTTTGCATATGAAATGGAACGTCTCAGGAGAGCAACTCCAGCGTGAGCCATCTCTCCAGGTGACTGACTGACACCAAGCTCTCTGTGCTAATGATGTTAAAAGCTTTTCAGCTCTGTGCGGTCACCGGCTCTTACCCACTCACTGCCGCACTTTGGAGTTGGCTCATTCGCGATGTTACATAAACGCCGAACGGGAGACCTCGTCCCAAACGGCTGCTGGGTTTCGTCCCAGCCGCGCTGTCTGGGGCCATCCAAGCAAGATGGTCTGAGTGGCCCCTCACAGCACCACGCAGGCTCAATCCTGCATCTCAAAGACAGGTGGCGTCAAGGGTGCGCAGCACCTAATGGGATCAGGCCCTTGCACCTTCGAAAAGCTTTCTTTCCCCAAGGGAACGTAGTGCTGCTGAGAGGGAACTGGAGAATGAAATCTTCTATTTTTCCACAGGGTGGTGCCAATGCAAACTTCCCCACTCCAGGCCACCCGTCCACCTCTGCCCGGACAAGAGGTGACCTCCCCTAGCCAGGAGAATGGGTGAGTTCAGCCTCCATGGTCTCTGGAGACTACCTAGTATGGTTTCTGTGAGGGGGACATGCCCAGTGGGGTGAACCTTTCTAGGGCTGGTGTGGCAGCATCTGCAGCACTGACTTGGGGTGAGTTAACTCAAGCCCCGAGCACCAAGAACTCGTTACTGGATGTCCCAGGGCCTGACATGACATGAGGAGCAACAGAGCGATTGCCCTGCCATGCTCTCCCCATAGGAACACAGTGTCCAAGACCCAATTCATTCTGCTAGCACCCACAAGTTAAGGAGGGGAATAATGGCTGGGTACTTGGGGACTGAGGCTCAGGAATGGCCTAGGGAAAGAGGGTGACAGTAACTGGCTGCTTGTGAGATTTAGGGTTGAGGGCCCCAGGGGAGGAGCGTGAGAGTAGCTGGTTCTTCAGGGACGAGGGACGTGGGAGCATCTGTGGCAGCTTTCAATCCAGTAGGGTGCCCTGTTACAAAGTCGGGGCTGTGAGAACATGAGGGAGGATATTGGGGGGCTGGTCTCATCCAGCCCGAGGGGCCAGAGAAGGACCAATGGCTCTAGTTATTTTTTGGGAGAAGGTGTGGGCCCCACACTGGCTCTGAAAGGGTTAATGGGCCCCAGGAACAAACTGGGCTGCACCTGGAGGGCGGGTCAGATTTAATGATGAGCCCCAGCTGGGGCAGGCCCAGTGTGGTTAGTGCAAAGAAAGGCAGTCCTGGATCCTTCCCTGAATACAGACAGCTGGCAGGGGAGAGAGGAAGCAGCCCCTGGGAGTGGAGCAGATTGATAAAGCCCTGATAAAAGGGGCAGCACTGGGAGGGGGTCAGTAGAGGAACAGCGAGGGAAATGGAAGGGGCCTGAAAGGCCAAGCCTGAGGTGGGTGAAAGTTGGTTTGGATTTGTGGGGGGAAGGCCTGGGCAAAGACCATGATAGGAAGAAGCCCAGGGAGGTAGCAGGGGCAGGTCTGAACAGATGGACCTGGCCTGCTCACTGCCGTGTTCCTGGGCTGCACCCCTGGGTAGTGGGAGGGCTCCGGCTCCTCTGCCAGCCACTGGAGGATGTGGTCCTTGGCCCCTTACATCGGGGGCTTCAGACATTGGAAAGCCCCGAGCCAATGGGGTGTAAGGACCACGGGCCCCAGAGTTGGACTGGAGACCTAATGTAAGGACCTTGGACTTCCATTTATTAGACTCGTTCCCCTGATGGGGTGGACTGGTTTACGGGAAGAGCACCGGAGCCCCCATCAGCGGGGGACACTAGAGAGGAGAGAGCCTGGTTCACCACATCCAGCCATGAGGGGCCCATCACGGGTGAGTGTGCTCTTTCCCAGCCTCCGAGGCTGTGGTTTTCAACCTTTTTAGGCTGCATATCCCGTTCCAAATAACACGGTGTATCGTGTACCCCCATCCAAGATAGGGTCAGAATATATCTTGGATTAGATTGCCAAATCTTACTAAATCGAATGCATTTTTCACTGTTACAGGATTTTCCTTGTGTACCATCTGATGAGAGTGTGCGTACCCCTAGGGATGTCCCTAAGAGAATAAATTCTCCCTGGCCAGTTTAGTGCACGGCAGGATTTTCAACCCATCCAACAAGAGACTGTCTAGGACATTCCACATGGGACCCTGCTCTTATCTCGTCTGCTTCTTAATGCTGCAGCTTTTCCTATAACCACAAGGGAGCAGCATTGGCCCTGCTTACTGATCTGCAGATGTAGCTGTGGTTGTGGGGAGGTTTCCTGATGGAGCTGCTGTTCCTTCCCAACAGCTCTTCCACAAACAGGGGAGATCTTCTTTTCTCTCCTCATATGGCCGCCGTTCCATACCCCTAAGCATTTTTGTTGCCCTTTTCTGAACCAATCTATCTTTTTGTGAGATGGGGCGACCACATCTGTGCGCCGTATTCAAGATGGATTTATAGAGAGGCAATAGGATATTTTCTGTCTTATTATCTATCCCTTAATGATTCCCAACGTTCTGTTCGATTTTTGGCTGCCGTTGATCAATGAGTGGATATTTTCAGAGAACTATCCACAGTGACTCCAAGATCTCTTTCTTGGGTGGTAACAGCTAATTTAGACCCCATCATTTTATACGTATAGTTGGGATGATGTTTTCCAATGTGCATTACTTTGCATTTATCGACAATGAATTTCATCTGCCATTTTGTTGTCCAGTCACCCAGTTCTGAGTGCTCCTTTTGTAGCTCTTTGCAGTCTGCCTGGGACTTTACTATTTTGAGTAGTTTTGTATGATCGGCAAATTTTGCCACCTCACTGTTTACCCCTTTTTCCAGATCATTTATGAATATGTTGAATAGGATTGGTCCCAGTACAGACCCCTAGGGAACACCACTATTTACCTCTCTCCATTCTGAAAACTATTTATTCCTACCCGTTGTTTCCTATCTTTTAACCAATCCATGAGAACCTTCCCTCTTATCCCATGACCGCTTACTTTGCTTAATAGCTTTTGGTGAGGGACCTTGTCAAAGCTTTCTGAAAATCTAAGTACACTATATCCACTGGATATCCCTTGTCCATATGCTTGTTGACCCCTCAAAGAATTCTAGTAGATTGGTGAGGCATGATTTCCCTTAACAAAAACCATGTTGTCTGTTCCCTGAGAAGTTATCTTCATCTATGTGTCTGACAATTTTTTGTGTTTTACTATAGTTTCAACCAGTTTGCCCGGTACTGAAGTCAGGCTTACCGGCCTGTAATTGCTGGGGTCACCTCTGGAGCCCTTTTTAAAAATTGGTGTCACATTAGCTATCCTCCAGTCATTTGGTACAGAAGCTGATTTAAATGATAGGTTACAGACGACAGTTAGTAGTTCTGCAATTTCACATTAGAGTTCCTTCAGAACTCTTGGGTGAATGGCACCTAGTGTCCAGTCATTAGTAGAAATGTACTGTTTGCTCCTCACCATCTTTCTGTTGGTGAGTCAATCCCTGTGCACATCTCTGAAAAGTACTTATAAGTGTGGGTGTAAGCAGGTGTGTGTTGAAAACTCTAGCAGTTGAGTGTCTCCTCTTCCTGGGCTGATGTCACTGTGATGACTGGCTGGTAGCTTTGTTCTTCGGTGGATCTTTTAATTTAAATGCTTTGCTTGTTACTCCATTTGTACCTGCTGTGCTGACAATTGTATTATGGGTAATGACAGGTGTCCCTTGGAGGATTATGGGAAAACTGTGGGTGGGAGAAGACAGGTCAGTATGTGTATTGACCTCAAACTAGCAGCTCCAATGGAGCGGGATTTCTGGATATGCGATTCAGCCCCTACAAGGGTGAGTGAGGGAGAAATGCAGTATTTGACCTGATGGGACGATGCAGATTGTGACCCGAGGAATCTTTACGTTAAAATGTGCTAAGAAGGCAGTGCTCTGATCTGGATTCAAATCCAGCTTAGGCTGGGTACTGGTTTGAGACTCAGCAGGGAGGGTGTATGCTTGACAGCACTGACGCTCAGCAAGCAGTTCTCGTGAGATTTTTGGTTTAGGATGACAGACATCTGTCAAGAACAGCTAACTTGGGGAGAGCACCACCATTCTGGGACAGGGTCTCATGGGAACAACAACCATTTTTGCCTGGATTTGGCTGTGTCCAAACTGGCACCGGAACGTAACCGCCTTCCAGTTCTAGATCCATCCTGAAATCCAAACTGCAGGGGTCAGCTTGTACCCGGGGATTCATTTTTGGTTCCTTTCTAATTAAAATGCAGCCCTTGCTCCTGGTTGGGGGTACGTGCAGGGTGGAACAAAGGTGAGAACTCAAACAGCACTTCCTATTCATGTATCAAGGGAAAGACAAGGACATGCAAATGTGGGGCTAGTTGAGCAAATGTGTGCAATTGCGCACCTAATTTCCACATGCAAATAGGCTAACAGCATACAAAGTGCCAGTTAGATGCCAGGGTAGCTAATTGTACGAAGTATGTGTGCAGTGTTGCTGAGTGCGTGTGTATCAGAGCGGTGCTCTTTCAATGGAAAAAACAAAACTTGTGTGCAAAGCATGTGCAGACGCTGGGGGCTACTGGCCACTTGCCAACACAGTCCTCTGTGTTACACAAGCTGGGCTCCCTACTCTATTTTGGGGGGAGAGGGTGGACGGGGAGGGTGTTTTGTGTCCTGGGGTTTCTGGAGGCAATTCAAGCTTCATGAGTGGAAACCTAACAAACACCCGCCCATCCCCCTGTATCATACAGCTGGGCCTGTTACGCAGCCTCCCCATTGGCATGAACAGCAGAGCTGATGTTGGGAGGACTCTCCTTCCATGTGTCTAGCGGGTTGGGACTTGGGCTGTAATTAATGCCAGCCATTTGGTTTGCCGCTTTGCAGACAGCTTTACATTTCAAAGGGTCGGTGATCCCAGTGGCTGGCAGGCCAGCTGAGCTCCATCTGGTTCCATTAGCCAGCCCAGGGCAGAGGGGCATGTTCCCTGACCACCTGGGTTATTAATAACTCGGGGCATTGCATATGTGTCTGTCGGAGCTTTGCAGGGATGCTTTTTCCCTTGGCTAGTAGTGGTCACGGGTCCCTTCTTGCCCACCCTGAATAGGCTGCCAGCAGAACTCTGGGAATATGGACCAGACCATGGGCAGAGGAACAGTGACCTCCTCAAGTCCATCTTACTTTCATCTCTTGTCATAGAGTTGGGCCCCTGTACCACACAGGGCCCTAAACAGGCAGAGATGGCATTGATCAGGGAGGTGATCGCGAGCTCCTCCCCAGAACTAGGTGAGCCACAGCTAGAATCTCGCATTCAGGGTTGGGCACTTCAGTAGCTGCAAGATGTTTACAAATGGAAGGAAATCCACAGAACTACCAGGAAATGTGAAGGGATGCGGGGGTGGGGGAGCGCATCAGGAGACAGAACAAGCACACACACGTATGGCTTGGTTAAACGTGGGCCGAGGGATGATGTGAGAGAATATGGGGTAGGAACGCCAAGGACAGGAACTGTTTAGGCACTTCCAAGGGGAGGTGCTGTGAGGACTAATGGGGAAAGCAAGGAAAGGAAAGCGTTGGCTTGGTATCAGTGGGGGGGAAGTGTCCCGACATGGAGATCTTAGACAGGGGAACAGACTCCCTGGGGAAGCGGTGAGGGCCCTATTGACTAAGGTGAAACCCTGGAGAATGCATGCTGGGGAGCAATCCTGCCTTTTTGGGGGTGGAGAAGATGAACGTGTAGGTGTCTGGCATCTCTAGCTTCGTTGATCCAGTTACAATGAACTGGAGAGCACATGGGGCTGTCTAAGCCCTGGGGCTAAGCAGCACTAATTGCTGGTGGCTTGTTGGTAGCGAAGGAGTCTGGCTTGGCAGCGTCACGGTAAGAACGTGGACCCACGGTATTGGAAGGAGAGAGAATCTCCAGCAGAGAAGGGGAGTCTTGTCCTGGGGGTAGAGCTCATGCACCGGAGAACTTGCTCCCAAGAAGCCATGTGCTTTTAGGTGCTGAGGGTTGGCCCCAGTTGAGTTGGCAGCTCTCCAGGAGCTGAGGTGAGCAGTCTCCTCTCTTAGCCGGCAAAGGCGGGAAGGGGCTTGGGGGAGATGGATACGGGGGCAACATAAAGCATTTCTCTCCTGCCTTTGGCATCGAGAGAGAATGGAGCCTCCCGTGCTGCACCATGTACCTGGCTGGTCTCCTCTGAAGGGCTGGCACTTCAGACGACAGCTGGGCTGCACCAGAACTGCAGCTGGGAAAGGGTTGACGAGAGCAAACATTTGTCATTGGGAATGAAAGGACCTTATGTCCTGACATCAGGTTTAGTTATGAATCACTGATTAGGGAGCAGGTCTGGGCTTAGTTATGAATCACTGATTAGGGAGCAGGTAAACTCCTGTCCGCGTTTACACCAGTGTAAAACTGGAGCAACTCCACGGAAGGCAATGGGGTTTCATTGCATTTACACCTGTGTAAACCAAAGCAGAATTTGGGCTGTGGTTTCTGAGGCGAGTTTCGAGAGACTTGCCTGGAGTGAATGGCAGCTTGCTGCTGTTGCTGTGGCAACTGGCTGGTCAGGATGAAGGTAAAGCGTTTGAGTGGAATAAAACGTCAAAAAATCCCTCTAGAAATCCTGGCGTGAGCTGGAGAGGGGCAGAGGGGGGTTCCGAGCAGGCACTGCTGCCTGGGAGGAGCACGGCTCTGAAGATGGCTGGACTCTGTTCTTGCTAAGAATGGAGGCCGAAAGTTGGTTAGAAGACAAAGTTAGAAATGATGGTTCTTCTGTCGTTTCCACATGGAGCCACTTGCACTTAACAAAATCCCCACAAAATCTTATTTCCAATTTTACCTCCTCTCCCCTGTGTTTCCTTTTCCATTTCGCCAATGACCGCGGCAGCTGGACAAATAGCCAGTGGATTCTCTTCTCTCCCTTT